CAAAGTATTGTGCTGAATAAATTCTTCCTTTGGATACAAAAGATATGGAGTCAATCTGCAACTATCTTTTTCAAGAATCTAGACTTGCCATCTCTAATTAGATGCTGTATGGTAGAATTGATTCTGTAATCTACATTTGCATTAAAAACTGACTCCTAGAATTGCTCAGATAGCTTGTAATGTTCACAGTTTGTATCATGTCATTTTTCCAAGTTTGCAGATGCGAAAATTTTGTGCATCTGCAGCTGAAGACTTTTAGAGCACAGAAGCTTTTATAATTGCAGGCTTAGCAAATTTTCAACAGATTCTGCCAGTAAGGAGATTACATATTCTCAGATGGCTATAAAATGCTAGATAAAAAGTCTAGATGATGGGGCAATAGTAGCATGAAATTGATAGGGTTTTATACAGTCAACATTCCCACAAGCAGCGACACTCTGGTCTTGCGCTGTCTTGTAATGGGAGGGTCAAATTAATTCCCTCACAGTCAGTGTAATTTGCCTTAAATGTTGTTAAGATCTGGATGAAGTAACTGCATTGCTGTATGTGTGCTCTTTTCCTATATGTTCTTTCTCAGTAGGCTGAATTTTATTTGAGTGTTCATCTTAAATTGTACTTTTGTCAAGGAAATACTAAACTTAGGAATGTCAAAGCCAAAGATGTCTCCTTATAAATACAGCAATAACTGTTGCTGTGAAGTACTGGAGAATTCTGTAGCTCCTGGATAGAATGAGTGATCACTGTAACTAGCATTAGCTAATCATGTTACAGCATTACCTTGTGTCATCAAAAAAGTAATTCATAGGGTGGAATAAAAATCAAATCCAAGCATGAACAGACAGTTAAGATTATGTATTAACAGTACATAACATATAACTGAAAGCTTTACAGGCTTTATTTCATAAGTTGCCTAGTTAAGCTTTCCAAATTAATATTGCTAATAAAAAAAAATTATGCCTCTGCTCAGTTATTTTGCTGTTGCTGCTTGTGCTCTGTTCTATGCTAAAATTGAAATATGCTTTGAAAATGAGAACCATATCTTTATTAACTCATCTTCAGTTGTCTACTGAACCAACTATAAAAAAGGTATCTCCAATAGTGCCACAAAATTAATGGTAACGTGCGTAGAGCACTTTTGTGACCATTAGAGCATCTGCCAAAAGGTTCAAATTATAATACCAGCCTAATTTGGTGGTTGGCACTTTGAATTCTGAAATGTTCAAAGACTTAGGATCGTTTGATGATTCTTTTAAAGCTTAGCTCAGAGGAGGAGACATTTCAAACTACAGACCTGACAGAAAGAGGCAAGGAGAACAGCAGAGCATCACTTTTCCTCCTAGAACGTCAGCTAAAATAAGGAAAGTCAAAGCTTACTGGTGTCAGTAAGGTCCTTAAGAGCTCTACTCTGCTGAATGTTTGCAAGCATGTATCTTCTTCACAACATGGACCGAAAACTTGAATACTCATCTTGGTCTGTGAAGCTAGGTTCTTAATTAGGCATGTGCTTCATATAATTTTGTTCTTTATTCTTCTCAGGTCTCTCTCAAATTGACTTGACTCAAAGGGATGAGGGTGGATGAGCGGGAATCTTGGTAGATGGGTGAACAGTTCCCATACCTCAAGATCAGATGGGTGTGAGGGTTGAGTGTGGGAGAAGAGATCCTTTTCCTTCAGTCTGGTCCTGTCACATAGTAGCGCATCCTATTGGGTCACTGTACCCAACAGTGTACTCCAGTTCCTGTGTCTTCTCGGCTAATGTCTAGCCAGTCAGAAAGAGAGCTGGATAAAAACCGTAAATGTCACCTATTCTTGCTGCTGCTGGAGGTGGAAGAACTGGGGAAGGCAGGGACACCCAAGCCTGAAATGCAACCCCTACACAGCACTGACTGTTCTTGTCTCCATTCCGATTCCTCGCTCAGTTGCAGCCCGTGAATCTCCAGTGTGCAGGCATAGGCAAAGGTGGCACTTTTCCTGATATTTCCCAGGGCTGTTTCACACCCCTATGAAACCTCTCCATTCTGGCTAAAAAGGAAATGATTTTATAAGGTTCAGGTTTGGCCCTAAAGGAGTGGAGTGCTTTGAAGTGAGTAAGCGGTATCAGAGCAGAATACTGTCATCATATGTTTGCTAGACCACACTGTTGTCTGGTGCACTGCCCATTGCTGCCACTTTGTCAATGCCTGAAGCTGGCTTTGATATGCAACATTGTTCATCAAGCTTCTCTTTATGTATGAATATGTTTATATTTACATTTTCACTTATTTTTGTTTGCAGGTTACCTAGTGGGAGGTGATGTGAGCACTTCTTTTAAGTCAAAGTGAGGTGCTATAGTTAAGCTTCTAAACACTTTTTAGGTTTCAGTGGTTAGAAGTTTATTTCTTGTTCTCACCTATAGCTCTTACAGTGAAAAATTAAGGTACCTAT